TGTATGTATGTGTGTGTGTGATACGAATACAGTTTTCAGGTATGACGTATCTAGAAAATGGATTAATATCAGGAATTTAGCGCGTGTAAATATGACAGTGGATACTGGGATCCACGCAGAATGGCGACAGTTTCATGCTTGAACGCAATCTCGAGTCATGAGCGTTGGCTGGCTGTTCGACTATGTATATATACTGTTCAGTATGGATAGCTAGGCCTAGTATTTCCGACTTATTGTGTTATCCTAACGATTATTGGGTAGGCGAAAACGGTCATATTTTAAATCATTCTAAAAGATATGGATTAGAAATAATTATGAGCCAGGATGCGGTTATTTTATAGCTATTTTATAAGGTTCTTTTTTAACTTTTCACTTTCAAATCGTTATTATTGATTACTTAGTGTATTTTGTAAGTATTTTTGTCCTTGGGTAGAAACTGTTATCTGATATGTGCTTACGCGTAGAAATTATGAAAAATGGCTAATATTTCCTTCAAACTTTGCTTTTGTGACGAGGATAATGATATTTCTGTAATTTTCCCTATAAGCATTGTGAAAACTGATGAATGGGGACATTATCGTTCACTCGAGGTAGGGACAAAACAAAATATGATTCAAAAGTGGCATTTTTTATTCTGGGATTGCACAGAAGAGACCCAACAAATTAGAAATAAGAAGTTTTCGCAATTTATACTTGTACTGTAAATTACTTTAATGAGTCAGTCCCCAATTATAGACTCACAGTATGTTTTCATTATACGATACTTGGTAGCAGTGTTCAAAGTCTAGTCTATTCTGTTTGAAGCGCTAGCCTTGTTCCTCGGAGTACGGCCCCATATTCTTCTCGAATCTATCAAGATGAGTGTCAAGGATATAGACTTTGAGGGGCATCTTGCAGCCCATTTTGCCGTAGTTCTTCATCAGGGTTTCAACAAACACCACATTTTTCAATCTGCGATTCCCTAGGAAGCTCCGATTCACTCCAACAAAACTTTGCCACGGTGCATTATTCCCCCGAGTGCGATTCTTGGAGAATTTCTTGCAGTCTATAATCTACTTTATTTGTAGTTACACGAACGGATCAGTTTTGGATTATGTCGCAGACATCTTAAAGAAGAAACCTTGAAGTTACTTGAAGGGTGTAGACTATTTATCTAGAGCTGTAAATATTATTTCATTAGGCCAAATTTTAAGTTCAATTGAGGAAACAATACTTTCCGGGGGTCCAACAGGGATTACCATTTGACGTTGTTCCTCCCCACATTGAATTCGGTTCGCTGTGGCCAGTCCTGCCTGTGGTAGTGTCCCACGTAGTCTTTGATGTCCCAAAGGCAAAGATAACTCGGAAACCTGATAAAGCCACCTTGGAAACTCATTAAGAAGACTACTATTTTGAAATTTCCAATAACCTCCTAACCATACTCTTCATGTTTCAAGGCATCTAGCAAGATCTTTACACTGGTGTATTACTCTTTGAGATGCACAGAGTGAGCCAAGGGAAGAGATGAATACATGTTCCTTCTATGAAAGATCACGGCTTTGAGACTCCTGGATGAGCTGTTGATGAAGAGGCGCCAATCGCTGAGGTTACAGGCGAATCCAATTGCCCCGAACAGACCAGTCACGTTGTGGCAGAAGCAAAGCCAATCTTGACTGGTGATGACCTGTAACTTACACAGTTACATCTAATAAGTTCCATTGCTTGAAGCTCGACGTCAAAAGCTCGGCATTGGATTTTGTGAGACAAAAATATCAGATCGGGTTGTTGGGGTCTTTTTTGTTGGGGTAGTATGGATTTCTCTCCTCAGCTGCGAATCTGTAATCTGGATCAAGAACTTCATCCTTTTTGGAATTGCTGTTCTCTTCTAAAAACAGATGCTTTCTATTTGGAGGAATCGGTACGGGGAACGTAGAGCAGGTGTGGATCTTGGGCGATGGGTAACAGAAGGTCTGGATATATAATAGCTGGCGTATTCTTGTCAACTTGACGTTTGGAAGGGTCCACCAAAGGCAGCGTTAGCGTAGTGGGCTTATGGTCCTATACTTCACATCGGGTAGTGATATTAAGGACAAGGAAGATGGCTGCGAATTGTTTGAAATAGTCCATAGAACCCCACTCCATGGCACATCTCCATGGAACATACACCTCAGCTGATACCATCGGCTGCGGCAAAATTGGGCTTGACTTGTAGGTTCGTGATGATAGCTTGCATCGCAATGCCGACTTGTTCTCGTGCATAGAAACGTCGCCATGACCGCCTACCTGACTGGCGTCGGATCTTACATAATCTGGACCCTTCCCTGAAGCCTTAACGCCTTGTGTGGTCCTACCAGGAGACCGAACTTCCGACGGCATTGCATTTAGGTTCTTTGATACGCGGAAGCTCCTCCACCACGAAACGGTAACTATTAGTATACCTACCGAAAAGTGGACTTGGCACGCCGAGTTCAAATAATATTCTCTTTGGCCCAAATAACGTTGGGAAAGTTACGAATCGATTACTTCTCGCGTAGCCATGAATTAAATAATAGGGAAGACTGGGCTTTCACACTTTTGTTAGTAAACCAATCTAGTATTTACGAATTCAAACCGGTTCAGGCTAACAACCTAACCCCGTAAAAAGGTTATATTTGTACGAAAACCACACCAGCAACACTAGAGAGATGGGGGTCATGGTTCTATATCCCACAGTAGGCAGTGGTATTAAAGACAGGGAAAATGTACTTAACATGAAATACAACCTCAGAGTTTATCTCGAAGAGCTATGCGTTAGGGAAGAGAGTCCGATCTTCATTGGATGTTCGTCTAGAGCTTTGCCTTATACCATACTTGGTTAAGCTTTGACAATAACCGCGTAGATATTTCTGTTGGTTTACTTAAAAAAATGTTAATAACGGCACATTAAGTGTGTCTCTTTGGGACGTGCGCATACTGTTTCTCCACGATTTCCTATTATTTGTTACTCTAAGTCCCCTTACTTATACGTCCCAGTCCATGTACTGCCATCTGTTTACACAAGCTCATTAAGTAGGTTGTTCATGGCTCTCCACATCTTCCTATCCCTTGCAGCTCTAAGCAATGTCTCTCTCTCCTTACTATCCCTCCCAGTTCTGCTGTTTACACAAGCTCATTAGATAGACTTCATGATGTTCCAATCTGTCTATTTTACTTTCCGTTTGTCACGTGAGTGTCAAACTCTCCGAGCCGTCTTTCATTATAATAACTCCCTTTTGTTTGGTTTTGAACAGCGACTATTAGCAGTAGTACGGAATACACCGGAAGTGGATACTCTTTAATGACTAACACAAGGGCCTGATTAATTTATTAAAATTATGTTGCACCATTTTTTAGTTTTTTCAGCCATTTGTATTGGTAGGCAAATACGTATGCATTTTAGCCTCGAGGTTAGTTATTGTTTAAAGTACGTAATCTGTGTACTTGTCTGTCGTTGCATAGCAATGTTAACACAACATTAATTGTTCTATTGTTGCTATTGTAGTGGGTTAAGTTCCATCGCAGTTTAGAAATGCATAAGTTAGTCTTTATTATCAGAATGAAAGACCTGGAGTAGAAAAGCATGGAATGGAAGGTCAAATCTGAGTTAAAAGAATGTTAACAAAGAATGAATCTTGATAAGTTCATAATGTGCATAAGAATTTGCAAGATCGATCCAGTTACCATATGAATTACTGAAAACACCTTTGAAAATAATAGAGCTTCTAGGGGAGGTTATAACTCTGAGTAAATAATTATAACCCTACCCCTAAAATTTACATAGACAAAAATACTCGTAAAAATGATAAAGAGTAAGTCGTGGAAACAACAAAACGAGTATTATTTATTTTCTAATCATTATGTAGTGTTGGAGAGACGAGAGGGAGTAATACTGAGTAAAATTATTTGTGATCAAATGTAGATCAAATATGGATCAAAATCCGACATAATCATAAGATAAAGAATAAGTAAAATGTATACAGTTTTTCTCTTATGATTTTTAGATATGTATGTAACGAGTATTTAATTTAGTTGTAAAAAATACAAGGAGTTTCTGAGATTTCTTACCTCGAATTTGTTGAGTGCTAAAAGATAAATGTTACTATTATGTCCCGAAAAAGGAAAAAGAGATAAAATTTTCGTTGACACACGTGTTAACGATCTGTCCGTGTGAACTGCTTCTCCAATAGTGAGAATGTCACGTGTTTGTGTTCATGTAGATTGTAGAGTATAAAAAGTTGATCGATTCTCATTGGTTTTAGAATCAGTGAATAAATGATAATTATAATTGTAATAATTATTTTTTTTAATTATTTTTGACACTATAATTAATTTCTATTTATTTTTATATGGACACGACACTGACGGTATAATATTTTTTTTTATTTATGTATTTCTTTATGGAAATGACAAAGTAGACGCCTGGAATTGTTTGAACATGGGGATAAAACATTTATTTCTTTGTGCTTGTGAATTTTTAATGAAGTAAATGCTTTCTATCGGTTTGGGTCTCTTTCTTTTTCTTAATAAGAATAATTTGGATGATACAGAACATTAGGCGCAGTGAAAAGAGTCTGCTTAGAAATAAAACTGTCGTGCCGAGCTCTGACTGGACGGAAATCTAGTTGGACTGTTGTTGGATTCAACACTTTAGAGGAGATTTTTACAAAACCCAAAGGAAAAATAAAACATAGAATTTGAACAAAGAAATATTAACAAATATATTGATAGGATATTTTACAAAAAGGAAAAAATGAGTGTCTGTAGTTGAGGGACGTAGATTTCGGTGGAGAGTGAAAAGAATACGACTTTTCGCTATGAAAAGTCAACGAGAAAAGAGACGGTTTCTTTCAAATCTCGCGCAACCTGTAATTATCGTCAGAAGGCGGTAATTCAAAATCTCGCCACCTGTGATCATCGCCAAAAGGAGGGTGCAATCCAACTGATTAGAAATCACTTAAAGTAATAAAAAGCTTACTAGTGTTTTAATGTAATCTTGATACTATATGGTAAAAACACATCTAAAAATAGAAAGACGTAACGTTAGACAAGAGGCGCTACGGCAGGAACGATACCTATCCTCTCTTCGGTATATTTTTTTAAAAATAATTAAACAGATTTACATTGAAAATGACAATCAACTTTTTCGTTTCGATTAATAAAATATTCCTTTTGCTGTGAATTGAATACGACGAGATGAAAATTAAATTGAACATTGACTTCAGTAATTTTGATAGATAACTAAAAGATTTGCATTAATAAGATTTGTAGATTGAAATAAAATAACATAGATTCGAAACAACTTTCATTACATTTTTTTCGTTGAGTGAGTTGCATGTCCGTTGAATATATTCTTATTCGGGCATTAATAATCAAATAATTAAATTCACCGTTTTTAGCTACAAATAAAATTTGTTTCAACGAATTATATATTGTGGATAACAGGCTACTGAAAATGTATTTCCTGAAGTTTGAAATGTGTGATAAGGAACGTTTGAATGTCATGACATTTTTTGTATTACTTAATGGATCGTGAAGTCTTACATATTTTAATGCTGATGGGATTATGTCACGTTCACTTATTTCTGTTTCATCCTCACTGATCTAATATTTTATCATCGGACATTTTACTTTAATGTTTATAGATCCACATAGATCAGAAGTCGTAGAAGTGATTAAACAACAAATACGGGGGTAGAACAGATACACAGTGAAAAGAAATGTTTCCAGGTGGAGCAAAAGGTTGGTTGATTGCTGGATAGCAATCACAATAAGAAAAGACAAGACAGAACAAGAAAAAACTATATAGGATTAACAACGTTATAATAGAGTTCGAAATATCCTTTTTCCAGCTGTAGAATTGCAACTGTTTCTCGTCGTCGTCATGGTTTAGTTAATATTGTCCGATAATTGTATTTATCTATAATCAGAAAGATAGGGAGGAAATCTCTGAAACACGTAAGGAAAGAGGGTCTGGAGAATTTAACACTCACGAGACCTATTGAAAGCAAGGAAAACATCAAGTAACCTATTTAACGAGTTAATAAATTACAGAACAAGAACAAAGAGTAGTAAAGAGTGAAGTCTGAGATTACTCCAGACACGAAGCATCCGTGTTTGAAGTGCAATTCTCAGCAGGATATTTTAAAAAATCATTCACCCCAACTACTGGACTCTCTCTCTCTCTCTCTCTCTCTCTCTCTTTCTCTCTCTCTCTCTCTCTTTCTCTTTCTCTCTCTCTCCGGTCGTTTTCGACGTATGAGCGCCAAGCAACTCAGTTCCTAGGAACAGCCAGATACCTGCACATATGATTCATTATAGCGGTGAAGACTTTGTGCAGAATCAACCACACTTTTTGAAGAGCCAAATACAGAGACCTGGTGCACCGTGTGAGGCACAAGATCCGTCCGCATGTTTTGAATTCCTTCTCCTATACCAGTTGCCATCCAAGTCTATAGAACCCAGTCTGTCCTGCTATTTACCCATAGCTGGGGGACAAGAAGAGGAGTCATACCTTTCGCAAGGGTATTAGCACATAAGTGAATGTAATGGATTCGATTGGAATTCGAACTCAGCTCTCTTATTCCACGTTGTCTCCATTCACCCCAATCCAGGCAATAAAAGCCACTAGGATAAAAGTGGTTACAGAGAAGGAAAAAACAAAGAGGGTAATAAAAGAACAGGAATTAAAGATATAGATGATGATGTTTGACATTGCATTTAAATTAATTCCACAAGATAGAACTAGTTACCAATCTAATACTGCCCTTAAATTCGTGAAATCGAGATAGAAATGAGGAAATCTCATGAAAATCTTTCTACGTTTATACTTCTTGTAGTGGAAGTTGGATATAAATACAATGTAAGTATATAGCAAATTCTCCTAGAATAAGACCGAGAATAAGTGTGAACTGCAAAAGATCTTTTTATTACTTTAAATAGATCCTATCCCACGATCGTTCTAGCCAATCAGAGTTTGTTTTTAAAAAAAACAAAAAAAAAACAAATTGTTTCTCACCATTCTTGGCACGGCTAACACTTTTCGCAATCGCCTAATTGTTATCCGCGTGGAAATTGGAATCGGCGCGTCGACTTCAAGTTCTGTCCTCATTGGTTGCACTCACTTCCATCCATGGGAAAGACAAGAATCTACCTTTTCTACACCAGATATAAGTTAGATAACAGGCAGACTGGGATCTCTATCCTTGGTTGTCAGCCAGTCAGGGAGAAAGACAACTCCGAATTCAAGACCGTGTAGAAAGAAAAATATTTATAGAAAATGCATAGGGACGCCACATAAAGGCGGTGAGAACGTGAATGAAGCCGAGATGCCAGGTAAGGACCAATAACGATGCCGAATTATCTTTGAATGCTGACAAGATTCTTTAGATTATAAAACAGAATCTCCAGACCAGATGTGGCAGTAATATTCAATGTACGGATAAATGAATCTGGACAGTGCTATTATTCGTTTTCTTTACTCAAGTTGCTAGACAATGGGAAAGGGGATTATTTTATTTATTGTCACTGCATTAGTCACCGACGAACTAAGATGGATTTATGAAAATCATTTCATTTAAAATTCCATTAAAAGATGAACAGGTCCTCACTGCAGTATAAATTATATCAAATAAAGTAAAATAAAACACGCAAGCCATTGTACGACTGTGACTTTTTACAATAAAGACACACGTGAATGTTTCCATGAACGCTACAATCTTGACCACCGCAAATCAAGGGACAACCGTCATTTTTACTCATTAGCTTTATATTCTTCGATTCCGACCATTTTCTATATATATATATATATAATATAATATAAATTAATTGATTTAAAATATGTTTTTTTCGCTACACAGTTCTAACCATGTTTCAAAAATGGAAGCTAAAAGCCCCGAATTTAATTTTGTAATTAAATTAAAGACATTAGTTCCATTTCATCCTCAATCGCATTTTTCTATTGCACTATTTTGTAAAAATAAAAATATCTATAAGAACACCGGATTATATAGCGAATTTTTCTATTGCGCTATTTTGTAAAAATAAAAATATCTATAATACACCGGATTATATATCTTACTGTTCTTTCTTAATATATATATATATATATATAATTCATAACTGTCGTTTTCATTGTATATCTCTACCTTGAGTGGCTTTGAGGCCTTTTGTTGAATCAAATTTAGTAAAGATAAAAAAAATACGATTGTCACTCATTTAATGATGTGCGAATGTAAGATTGCACCCGTTGACTGACTAAGTGTATAACAGGTGTTAGGAATATTTGTTAGCCCCCTCCTTTTTTAACCCATTAATATACCCCTTTCTCTTCCCGTACACGTCTTCTAGGTCCCGTTTGTCTAGTCTTACTTTCTGTCGACGTGTAGCCGCTCAGTTCGAACTCCGCTTGTTCCGATATCTCAATCCTCACACGTCTACTGGTTCAGGAGAGTTATACAGCTTCCACACTGTTTTAGGGATTGGTGCTAATATAAGCGGTCGATCGTCCAGTCTTGGTTCTTCAAGCATTGTGATTGTAACTGACAAAGTTGTCTTTCTTCTTTTAGTCAATAAGCCGTAGTAAATTTCTTGTTAACGACTGGCTGGCTGGAAATAAAGTCAAGCTCTCACCGAAGAAATAATAATGCCAGTTTTCGTTAAATAGATACGATTTCATGAAGGAGAATAAAATAATTTACAATCGAATATATTTGGCATCTATTAACGCAAAAAGATTAGAAGTCGCTGACTTGGAATCTTGATCTATGCAAGGTTCAATCAGAAATTCAAGTAAATATTAGGTCCTTTCCTCGTGCTCGTGTGCAATTGCGTGTGTCTCTGATTTGTCGATTGTCCCTGGCGTCTCATCCAGTCTCTGTCCTCAACATCGAGTTGAATTTATAATTCTCCACCTATATATCAAACTGTTCACACGCCAAAATAACTCACTTTTCCATTGTTTAAAGTCGGGGTTAAAAGACCAAATACTACGTTTTCATTTTGCCCCATTTCATTCAGAGCCATTGCTCCAAAAATTCAAAACATATTCGGCCGACATATACATCAGAAACGGAATTAAAAATGCATACACTGACCTGTCTAATTCGCTGTTATACTTGGTCTCTCGACAAATATTCTTGCCTAGAAACTTAATAAGGACTAGAATAACACACACCAATCCATTCCAAATGGTTGCCTTAAAATTTAAAACTACAATATCTACCAGTAAAAAGTTATCTTGTTATGTTAATGTCCAGCTCCCTCGAATATGATTGTTGACGTAGTGGTTTTCAGGTGGGAACTTATATGTTGAGATGTTGGGAGTGTTCCCGCGTGTGTGTATTCAAATAAAGACAAACACATATGTAGGGAAAAATACTGGTATATTTGAAGAGGTATTTAACAACAGAGTGATTAGAAATAACGAACGCAGGTTAGTAATAACAATTAGCAAGAGTCTAAAGTCCAACGGTAACTTCCGGTAGAAAGACGGAAGTGTAATGGCCTCGTGATCTATCTTATCCTCTGGTCTCTCTAGCACTGTCCTATATCGTAGAGGGATCAGTCCATTCTTAGTCAGAAGGTGGGTGCGCCCCAACATTATAATTAATAAGTTTTTTGTAAAGCTATCATTTGTATCGGATTTTGCTTTATAAGCCTAATTAATACTGGATTTTTATTTTCATATAAAGGGTGCAATGGGTAAATTGTCGCTATTTTATATTTTTAATTTCGCGCATGCGCGTTGTCTGTTTTTGATTTTGTCGATTGCACAATATAGTAGAACCATGTGGCACCTTCTGCGAGAAAAAGAGCAGAAATTTGGAAAAGGCATGCCGTACTGCTTGGTATTCGCATTGGAAGCTCCAATACGAACATGTTGGACAGTGCAGAAGTTCGGAAAGAGTTGATGAGTCTAATGGTGATTGCGAAGGTACGGCAGCTCGGAAAACTAACTCTGATCGTTCTGTTAAGAAAAGTACTGCCAATTTTTTGGTAAGGGCCTCAGACTCAATATGGAGGCCTACGTATTGTCTTGAGGAGTTAGTGCTCTTCTGGGTAAAGAGGGTGGCTGCTGGAAGAACCTATGTCTGTCAACAGGACTCTGCACCATGACACACAAGTAGCAGAACCTAGTCATGGCTGTCAGACACATCACCCCCTTACATCTGGCCATCTAACTCCCCAGACTGCTACCCCTTTGATTATTATGTGTGGGGCGAGAGACCCACAAAACTCCTTGTAACATCAATGATCAGCAAGGATTATAGCAGTATTCATCAACTTAAACACGGAAACTGTCCAAAAGAGTTGAAGGAGATTCCGAAGTCGTCTGAAAGCCAATGGCGATTTTACTGTATAGATTTATTCTTTAGTATCTCAAGATATTTTTGTGTAATTATTTAAATATACCTGTTAAAATGAAATTTTAGTGTTATTTTCACTTTTTGCATAATTTAGATGACAATTTATCCATCGTACCTTTATGACACCGGAATTTTATTTTAATTCTCATAACTCATGCTGAATTTTGTTTTAATTTTCATATATAATACCGGACTTTTTATTTTACTTTTCATATATAATACCGGACTTTATATTCCAATTTCCATAACTCATGCTGATTTTTTTGTTTTAACTTTCATATATAATATCGAATTTTTATTTCAATTTTCATAACGCATGCCTGTCTTTTGTTTTAATTTTCATATATAATACCGGACTTTTTATTTTCATTTTCATCTCCAGTTACCTTGATCTATCCACTATCCTTCTCCTCATCCTTTTTCTATCAGTCCTATCTACTCTCGCTCCAACTCTTCTGCAACCCCCTGCATCCCTTGCTCGGGGCGTAATGCTTAAAAAAAAAAAAAAAAAAAAAATATATATATATAATACCGGACTTTTTATTTTCATTTTCATTTTCATATATAACACCGGACTTTTTATTCCAATTTTCATAACTAATGCCGAAGTTTTGTTTTAATTTGCATATTCAGGATTGGATTTTACGGTTGGCATAAATGGATTAAACGAGAGACTGAATATACTGTATTAAAAAATGCTGGAAATTTTGGCTCACACATAATACGCCTGGACGAAATATAGTTTTTAATCGCATACCCATTTCTGGATCATGCTCGCAACTGATTTGATTAGGAAGTTTTAAGCGGGAATGAGGGAGAATGTTTTGTAAGAGTTTATTTTTCTCTTTCATTGATTATATCTTTTCTAATTTTAATATTTGTTGGGCCTTGTTAGTTTTGATTGGTTGCAATATCTAGAAAGTACACCAATCTATTTTTTTTTTATAAACAAAGAATAGAAAACACGGGCTCGTAGAAGGTACAACATCGACATTCACAACTATAACGCCAATTGATTTTATTATTTCCCATTATCAACTGAATGACTATGCATTTGATTTATTCAATAAATTGGATTAATTAGGTGTAAAGTGCATGAAAAGACTACAAAAATCTCGTCTTTCATCACCAAAAGGGAGTGAATGATTGGTTAGTGGCAGCTGAATAGACAGTTATATAAAAACCAGCATTTATTAATGTGTGCTGCCGATAAATCGATCACTTATTGAAACGGTAGCCAGGAAAGAAACGATATTAGCAGATATGTGTCGGCTTTTTATTTACCGCGCTTTCCATAATTAGAAGTGGTTTTCTTTCAAAGCGGATATCAAATCATGCTTGCCTCCAATTAGATTTTCTTACTTACATATCACTCACTCAACTACAGGTATGTCTTCCAACCTGTCAGTTCAGAATTACTTTCATATATTGAATAGCGAGATTAGGCACCTTGTGGCGGGCGGTGTAATAGTTAGCAAGCTTGTCTCGTTAGAAAAATTACAACCGAGTTGTGAGTTCGATCCTCACTGTGGGCCCCATACTTTCGGCCTTCTGCCACATCTCAGCTACGCTATTGAGTAGCGAGATTTTATTCATCGTCGGCTTGCTAGGCCTGTCGCCTAGCTTACAGCACTTGGTGTTCCCCAATGGTTGGCTTTATCATGTTTAAACACTAGATCTTGTACAATCATCGACGATAAGCAATGTCGAGTCTGGACATTACTTATATGGGTAACCACTTCAGCATACTAGGTGCTGTAAGCTTAGATGTGTGGCTGGTGTAATGGATAACGGCTCGAAATTTGTAACTGGAGAGCGGAGTTCCAATTCCAGTTCGGTTAATTATAATCAATCCTGACTTGGCATCTCGACTTCAGTCACTTTCTCGCCGACGTGACGTGGCTTCCCTCTGTCTTTTCTAAAAATGTTTTCATTGCAACTGCTCTGACGAGCTTTTTTCCCCTGGTACCCTGTAAGCATGTTACTAGATTGGCATCTAGGTCCCACCCGTTTACTTTTGAAATAATTAAATGCAACCGTCACTTCTACTCCAACAGTTTCTTCTCTTGCACTTCCCGCCTGTGGAACTCCCTTCCGTTTACATACTTCAGTGATAACTACAATTTTCAAAAAATTAAATGCAATATCAATCGTCATCTTCTATCTTCTTGAATCCTGTTCATCGTTTGTCCTTTCCTCAATTCTCCCGCTCAGTCTATTTTTCTCATTTTCACTCCCTGTAATCACTTGCCTACTTATGGTATCCCCGCCTTGCTCGTGGTAAAATGATTAAAAAAACAATTTACTTACACGCACCTAACCTCTAGAAAGGTATGAATCCATTTCTTCTTTCCCCAGCTATGGGTTAATTATTAAGATTTGTATCACCAATTCATTATTATCGCCAAAAGATTCTTGCAGTCAAAAAAAATCCCGGCCTCAAATAACCAGTCATGGGTTGATAAGCTGTAAAGTATAAATCCATCAATCAAATATTGTGTTGTCACATAGTTATCACGATTAGTTTTCATCGTGTAGGTCGATACTAAATGTCGAAACCAAAACAGTTTTATTACTTTAAGTGGATTTTAGCGCACCATTGATCTGGTCAATCATAAAAATATATATATTTCCTAATTAATAAGTATTCGTTGCACCTAACTCCGCTGCGATCTATTTGTAGAAAATACGATTCTAAACCCATATCATTATTTAGTTCTTTGAGGAACACTCCCTCATATATATCAAGTGATATTTAGACATTTTTATTCATTTCATCCTTGCGATATACCCAGACCGTCTGTCATTTTCTTTCTATGTTTATACTTCTTGAAGTGGAAGTTGGATATAAATATAATGTAAGTATATAGAAAAATTCTCCTCGACTCAGGGCTGAGAATAAGTGTCAACTGCAAAATATATTTTTATTACTTTAAATAAACCCTATCCCACAATCGTTCTAGCCGATCAGAGATTTGTACAAAAAGAAAACAAATTGTTTCTCGCCATTCTTGGCACGGCTAACACTTTTCGCAATCGCCTAATTGTTATCCGCGTGGAAATTGGAATCGGCGCGTCGACTTCAAGTTCTATCCTCATCGGTTGCATTCACTTTCGCCCTTGGGAAAGACACGAATCTACCTTTTCTACACTAGTTATGAGTTAGATAACAGGGAGACTGGGATCTCTATCCTTGGTTGTCAGCCAGTCAAGG